TGAAGACATTTCTTAGAAACCGCAACAAGGGTAAGTTGGAGTTGATGAGCAAAACAATGAATGAAATGAGCCGATCTACTTTCTCTCTTAATCAACATTTTAAGACCATTAATCTCACCTTGCATATTGCTTTCCCCATCATAACATTGTCCACGCACATATGATAGACTTAAGGAGTGTTGATCAAGTAAATTAACAATTGCACTCTTCAAAGATGAAGCACAAGTATTTTGAACATGAACTACATCAATAAGTCGCTCCATCACAAATCCCATTCTATCAACATACCGTAAGACAATCGCCATTTGCTCTTTGCGGGACGTATCAAAAGATTCATCAACTAGCAAGGCAAAGTAATCACCATTTAGTTCCTCAATTATAGCTTTAGTTGTTTCTATCTTACATGCAGTTACAATGTCTTTCTGAATTATTGGAGAAGTCATTTGATCATTTTGAGGANAAATTCATTAGAAGATGGTACTTCTAAATGGTTTATATTCTCCAACTGGATAGGTTGAGTATGAGAAGCCAAATTTGGTTTTGGTGCTTTGGTAAAATACCTCTTCACTGAATTTTGAGACTGAATTACAAAGTAGGAATGTAGTTAGAACAAAATTACCTAACCATTTTATCAAACAACAAGTGTGCATTACTGTAAAAACAAAATTGCAGAAGGAAAGTGTTATAAATCATAAGTAATAACTTATAATTTATCTGCTGGTTGCCAAACGGATTTCTAAGCTATGTTTCAATCCAATACTGAATCTAGAAAGACAGAAAGGTCATTTACATTTTAAGTTCACCATACACTAAAACCAAAAAAAAAGGTTCACCATAAACTCTTTCTTTAATCTTCTTTTATCTTGTTTGAATATGTTAAAAAGACAGAGAGGTCGGTGACAGAACAAGATTCATTAACCTAAATTTAAGAATCAACAATAAAACATTAATAAAATTCTGAAAAAGTTAGAAAGAACAAGTAATTTACCTGGGATGCCAATGCCATGATAGATGAAACGCCGGCGACAGGGCGGCGACTAGCGAGGCAATGGAGAGAATTGAGACGCGTCTGGCGAGGCAGAAAGATCGAAGAAACAAAGAGCGGGTGGCACCAACGAAGAGAGAGAGAGAGATTTAGGGATTTTTTAACCCAAAATCCCTAAATTAGAAAAAGAGAAGCAGTCACGTTTTTTGGGGGAAACGGACTTAAAAGAGAAGACAAGAAACGACCTCGTTTAAAATTAAAAAAAAAAAGAAAAAAGTTCTGAAGTGAAAAGAATTAGATTGTGGCTGACTGGAATTGAACCTGTGACCTGCTACAAAATCTGAACCCCCTTAACTACTAAGCCAAGCTTTTGCCTTGTGTCAAGGGGGTTCAACATATTATATCTATACGAAAATATTAAAAATTACCCTATATAAATAGTGTAATTTTCCGACGAAGGTGGTTCGGATGAACACCCTTGCGCCCCCCTAGATCCACCCCTGGGTGACCAGTTCTCCTCCTATCTACTTAGGACATCCTTGTTCTCCTCTCAATCTCTGTTGTTCACAAAGGTAAGTATAGATCTGATCTGGATTTCTTCATTCCTTGTTCAAGTGTTAATACTTTTCTTGTCTACTTTCGGGAAAAAACCGACTTATGAATCTCAAACTGTGTGAAATTTCAGAATCAATCTCAAATCTTTCTGTCTCGATTGCAAAAAGTAATGCGTTAATTACAAAAGCTGGCAAAATAGATGTGTCGCTAAAGTCTTTCCTGGTTTCTTTGTTCAAAAAATTGCTAGACACCCACGCCTCTGGTTCAATCGCTGTAAGACATCAATTACTTGATCAATGGTTGGACGCACACTCTGCTCACGATGGACACAATCCAATCCCAGTTGTGTTATTGCTCTCGCATCCTTCTTACTGCATCCATTGCTTATAAGTCTCTCATGGACAACATGCCCTTTCCTTTTGTTTTTTTCTTCACACCAAAAAACAAAATTATACTCCTCCTCATCTGCTGAATTGTCTTTTTCCTTTCCAAGCCACTGCTTCAACTTCTTAATCCGGCTATTGTCCTCCGGTCTCTGTCTTACAGTAACATCTTCCCATTGACTGACCAACTGTAGAATTATGATCCCCATACTGTAAATATCGACCTCTTCTGAGGCTATACCTACATATTATCATAGATAGTTTAGCAAAAACGTGATGTTTTTGAGATTAAAAAAAACATCTAGCAAATATCTACAACAAAAAGTATCCTTACCATGAGCTACATAAAAAGGGTCAGCATATCCAAAACTGAAACGACTATCATTTTCTGCGCCTGCAGCTGGTTTCACTGTCCCAAAGTCACACAGAACTCCATTCAAATCCTGCATGTAAGTTTTATCAATCAGTCCATAGATATAGAAAACAAATAAGTTTAAGAAAGTGTAGTTACGTCGTCCAAAAGTATGTTGGCAGTTTTAAATCCCTATAAATCAGCGGGGGATCTTGTCTGTGCAACTGTTGCAGCCCCAGTGCAACTCCCCTTAGGAAATTAACAATTTCTCCCCTACCTAAACCTGTCAAGAGTTGGAAAAAAATTGCTTTATGAATTCATGTAATTGAAACTTGTTGGAAAGCTCAACTTGCACATTCTGAATATAAATGTTGTAACTTTATGCATTAAAACAATAGATTTTGCCTTTTCCCTATTGTTGTCTAATGCTAGTTTCAATGTTTTTGAAATCATTCAGTTTCTTTTAGCTTTACTATGTACTTTCGCCGATAGATACCAACTACCAAGACAAATAATTGGGAGTGGAAGATCATATGTATTAGCTGCCGCACCCGCATCGGATCCTCACTATTTTTGGAGGATCCGACACGCACCCATCGATATTTTCGGAGAGTCCGAGCAACATAGCTTGATAGAGCTATCCTAGTGTCAAGCTTAGTGCTATAACATCCTAAGAGAAGTTGCCCCACGTTTGCGAAGGAACCCAATGATGCCATAACTTAATTTCAGGTTGAGGCTGTCTTTGCCAGTTCTCTTAATGTGAGTGGTGGAGTGGTTGGATGTTCTGCAAGATAGGAAAGGTTGGTGTCAAGGTGAGTGAGGGGTGTGGAGAGGAAAGCAATTGAGGAGAACCATATTTGCGAGATGAGAGCCCCTGCGGAGGAAAGAGGCTGCTTAATGTTTTGTTTGGAGATTGAGCTGCATCAGGCTAGTATCTTTGTTAAACTACTAGTAAAATGGAGCAACAATTTGAGCCTGAGATGAGCTCCAATGGAGAAATCTGGATATCTCACACGAAAAGAGAGAAGAACTGAGAGTCTGATTTGGGGAAATTGAAAAACTGATTTCTATTAACACTTCATCAGTGTATATATACACGTAGCTAACTATACCAAAATATCGGTAACTATCTGACTGACTAATACCACCTAATTGACAGCTAAGCAACTAACTAACTAACTGCTAACGCACTAGTTCAGCTATACAAGTATATAAATACATCTCAATGATCTGAAACTGTTTATGAGGCCCTTTAATGTCTCACCTTTAGCCCTGCAAAAGTTGTTGCTCTAGCTCTATGTTTGCAGAAAAATGTCTACTCAGGGGTCTGAAATATCAGGTGCTAACATTGTCTCATTTTTCGCTTAATTTTTACCTACTTCCTCTCTTATGTTCTCCACACTTTGATTTCTTTCTTTTGTTGCTCCTTTGCTGCACTGCAGATAACTTTCCACTACAGCAATTTGTCCAACTCAGGTAACACATTAAGCTTACACCAAGCTGCTAAAAGACGAATATTTTTAAATTTCAACCTAGACTGTGAGTCCTTTTTTCTTTCAAAACTTCATAGGTTTATTTCCCTTCCAAATGGTCCGCTAGATGCAACCAGGTATGACCTATCAAATCTTCTTTCTTTCTGTGCTCGGCCTGTTGCGGAAGCCAAATGTATATAGTGTGAATAAGTCACAACTACTATACCAAAAATTATAACAGTCACCAAATAATAAATAAGACAATAAAGCAACAATAAAAGGAACACCAGAATTTACGAGGTTCGGCTAATTTTGCATACTCCTCGGACACAACAAATATTTTATTCCACTCCAAAAATACAAGTGAAATAATATACTAAAGAGAGATACAAATGCCTTAAGAAGATAAGAAGGCAAATGAGATGTGTGTATAAATCCTAAACATTAGGCCTCCTTTTATAGGGAAAAAATCCCAACCAATTTGGTCTTCCACCGATGTGGGAGTTTTGGCATTCAACAAATCTCCACCTTGGCAAAATTCCACATCTTCAATTTTCTCTCAATAACAAATTTTGGTTATGTTCAAATCCAAACAATGTTGAAACTTGATCGCAGTCACCACTTTTGTCAGCATATCAGCAGGATNATATTTGCATATGGTACCCTTGACATATACTCCTGTTCAGCTTCTTCATTTGGCGACATAGTAGTACTTAGCTTAAAATGGGGAGCAAGTGGAGTACTAACTGGCTTA